AGTGGAATCTGTTGTGTGCAATTTTACACCTGAGGTTATATTTAAATGATTTTAGAAGCTCCTAAAGACCAGATTATTTTTAAAAAACCGGGTCCGAAAATAAAAAAAAAAAAAAACATCTGACAGAGGGGGTTTTCTTTTAACTATGTCTGCAAGCTATCCACTTTGTTTACTGCCACTTGCAATCAGGAGGGAAGGGAACAGAAATTATGATGGTGGTCCTGTGTTCCCTGATAATGGTGATTCGCGGCAGTCACTCCAAATGTCTTGGACAAGATTCTGAGAAGCCAGGTGTGAGCTACGACTTGGTATTTCTAATGTTACCTTTGTTTATCACATTATCTAACTTCCAAGAAGTCTTGTGCATTTCCTTTTCACTGTCATGGAATGCATACTGCTCCATGCACCACCGTTTTCCCTGAGATGACTGGAGGCTGATGTGTGTCCCAAGTTTGTCCCAAAAAATTGATTCTGTTCATCTGGACGTAGCATTTTCAGTCGGAGAAATGTTTCGTAACTTTTCCAAGTTCTTCAGTCTCAGTTAACTGCAGGTTTCCCCAATCTTATAAACAGTACATTTGCATAATGACTGAAACTAGCACCACTGAATGAACAATGGGCTGTGAGGTCAGTTCCCTTGATGCAAATTGTCATGACCACTGAGCAAAAACCACTGATCAATGGCCATGAGTACAATTCACAGCGAGTTGGGGAATGGCTGCAATCACAGCATTGTAAGATGGCAAAAGATGGACCCTTTGGCCCCCTCCTCGATTCAGAGATGGTCTTTCCCTTTTCACATAAATGGCCTCCTTGACTCCCCGTTCAAACCCGCGTTCCTCCCTGTCCAGGATGTGTACATCCTCATCATGGAAAGAGTGTCCACTGGCCTGTAGGTATAAATAGACTGCAGAGTCCTGGCCTGACGAGGTAGCTCTTCTGTGTTGTGCCATCCGCTTCACCAGAGGTTGTTTGGTTTCCCCGATGTATAAATCCTGGCAATCCTCCTGCACCTAACAGCGTACACTATGTTACTCTGTTTGTGTCGGAGGACCTGATCCTTGGGGTGGACCAATTTTTGGCGCAGCGTGTTTTGGGGTTTAAAAGCCACAGAGACCTGGTGTTTAGAAAAAATGTGTCTCAACTGCTCTGATACTCCTGATACATACGGGATCACTACAGGTTTTCGCTTACTCAGCAGTTGTCCTTCTCTCCTGGATCGGCTGGAGCTTTCTTTAGGTGCCTTCCCAGCTTTGACAAATGTCCAGATGGGATAACCACATTTACTCAGGGCCTTCTTGATGTGCTGTTTTTCTGCCTCCCTGACCGCTGTGTCAGTGAGGATGGTGTTCGCTCTGTGTTGTAGCGTCCTGATGACACCCAGGTAATGCTCCAATGGATGATGAGAGTCAAACCTTAAATACTGATCCGTATGCGTAGGTTTACAGTACACGTCAGCTTTTAGATGTCCCCCATTACTGATGGAAATCTCACAGTCCAAGAAGGCGAACCTGCCACATTTCATATCCTCCCTGGTGAATTTGATGTGTTGGTCCACCGAGTTAATGTGATCCATGAAATGTGGTACGTCCTGAGATTTGACTTTCACACAGGTGTCATCCACATACCTGAACCAATGGCTTGGTGGTGTTCCAGGGTAGGATAGCAAAGCCCTCTTTTCCACTTCTTCCATGTACAAATTGGCAACGATGGGTGAAACTGGGGAGCCCATGGCACACCCATGTTTCTGCCTGTAGAACTGACCCTTGAATGTGAAGTAGGTGGAATGAAGACACAGTTCCAAAAGAGAGTGGTCCTGTTGCTGAGGTTGGGGTCATTCTGTAATCTCTTACGGACTACCTCCAACGCTTCCGTGACTGGAATGCAAGTGAAGAGAGATGTAACATCGTACGAGACCACGGTTTCATCTGCCTCCATAATGACATCTCTCACCTTCTCAACACAGTGTTCTGGGTGTTCTGGATGTGGTGTTCAGAGCTGCCTACCGACGGGTTGAGGATCGAAGACCTCCCATCCCAGTGTTCCCTCAGTGGTGCTGGTTTCAGCCATTCTGTAAAAGTACTGTTTATAAGATTGGGGAAACCTGCAATCAGCTGAGACTGAAGAAATCACTTGGATAAGTGACGAAATGTTTCTCCCACTGAAAACACTACATCCAGATGAACAGAATCAACTTTTTTGGGATTTACTTATCAGGGTTATGATAATAATAATTGATTGCTTTTTGGGGCCCTCAAAGCACTTTACAATTCCACTATTCATTCACTCTCACATTCACACACTGGTGGAGGCAAGCTACAGTTGTAGCCACAGCTGCCCTGGGGCAGAAGCGAGGCTGCCATGTCGCGCCATAGGCCCCTCTGGCCATCAGGTGAAGGCCAGTAGGTGAAGTGTCTGTCCCAAGGACACAACAACCGAGACTGTCCGAGCCGGGGCTCGAAACGGCAACCTTCTGGTTACAAGACGAACTGTAACCGATAACGATCGCCCGGGTTATGAGGAATCAGCTGTGTGAAGACAGATTCCTCATAACCCTCACTTGACTGCATTCCTCTGCTCAGCATTTCCTCTTCCTTAACCTCCTAGGACCTGGCGTCCACATATGTGGACATCACATTTTGGGACGTCTAGACCAAAATACTTAATTTTTTCACATTTTTTTCTACAAGGGCCTGATATCCACTTACGAGGACATTATACTGCCACTGTTCTATCAAAAATTGATACAAATGTCCTCATATGTGGATCTCATTTTTCTCAAAAACAAAAATTAGGTAAAAAAAAAAAAAAAATCTGGTAATTCTTTGTTTTTACATTCTTTAGGCCCCAATCAACCCAAATAGCGAAGAAAAATTAAAAATGCATGCCATGAAAGAGTTCGGGTCTTAGTTGTTGATTTACATGATGAAATATTCAAATAAGTTTTAAAAGGCGTTCAATGGAGAAGATGTAATTGATTATGATAAATGATTTTGTTCACATAGACATATGAAACCAATATTTGTTCTACTGTGCTTATTGTTTACCTGAATCCTAAAATGTTTGCAGAACCCAACTACTTCACAAACGCTTTCTGGCCGCTTCAGCTGTTCATGGAAAGCATAGTCAAAGTAAACTGTCATTTGAGAAAAAAAAAAAGTGAGCTGGTAGACTGGTTGGCAGCTGCTTGAATACAATATCTCTATGTCTGCTACATACTCAGATGATATGTAACACTTGTTTGTGACAAACAGGTTTAAAGTTTCTGTGGCCAAAACTAAACTTTCACACTCTGTGACAATAAACAGTAAATACAGCAGGAAGAAGATGCCGGTATGTGTTGAGGTATGTATTTACCGTTTATCTGAACAGCGTTATCACTTAACAGACATCCATGCAATTGTTTAAAAAAATAATAATCAGTGGACAAATCAGTGCTCAAAGGTCACTCACCTCTAAATCTCCACACTTAAGAACTTTAGTTAAAAAAATAAAATAAATTGAATGTTCCTCTGCAGTTCTAACAGTAAAAATCTGAATTTTAAAGTGTTTCATAAACATATAGACTCACCAGCCACTTTGTTAGGTACACCTGTTCAATGCTAAGTACATTCTGATGAGAGAAGTAGCTCCAACTCAGTACTAGCAAGGTGTACCTAACAACGTGGCCAGTGATAGTAGATTATGAACGGGAAAACAAAACGATATCTACATATCGACAGTTCTTCAAAAACAACCCCACCCCCACTCCATAAAACCAGATAAACAGGCTTCAGCCCTGAGGAGGGGGATTGCTAAAAGCTCTCCATGACCTAAAGGGGATACTATGAAGCAACTTCAGTGTAGGAAGGCTTTCTTGGCATCGCTCAGACATATGAGATGGTAACAGAGGTTATCAACAGATCTTGATGTAGAAAACCGAGAGCAGCTTCACTAGTAATCTGGGCTTTCCACTTCAGGGTCGAGAAACTTTAATAACATACAAGAAAATATCGTGCCAAAAAGCAAAATGAGTGAGGTGGAACAAATCCAGCAAAAGAGAAACCGTGCAGGAAAGTGTCTTAATGCCTGCTCAATCATCCAGGTAAGTAAATCTCCAAAAGTTGATTCTGTTCATCTGGACGTAGCATTTTCAGTGGGAGAAACGTTTCGCCACTCATACCAGGACTCTGCAGTCTTTTTACACCTACAAGGCCAGTGGACACTCTTTCCATGATGAGGATGTACTCATCCTGATGAGGAAGGGATGCTGGTTTGAACGGGGAGTCAAGGAGGCCATTTACCTGAAAAGGGAAAGACCATCTCTGAATCGAGGAGGGGGCCAAAGGGTCCATCTTACAAATGCTGTGATTGCACCCGTTCCCCAACTCTGAATTGTACTCATGGCCTTTGATCAGTGGTTGTTGAAGAAGCCTGACGAAACGTTTCTCCCACTGAAAACGCTACGTCCAGATGAACAGAATCAACTTTTGGAGAGTGCAGAAAAAGTGTTAATCTTGTGAATTTATAACTGATTAATGCCAATTAAAAAAAACAACTGGTAAGTGACCAAACATAAAAGAATATGTGAACATTTGCTGCATCAGTAACCAAACACCTGTAAATTCCAGTGACAATGTGAGAGAGAAAGCATGAGTAACCTAACTGCATGGTTTAGGTTAAGTGGTGTTACTAACGTACCAACCAACAGGTCTGCATATATAAAGTTCTCTCGGGTAGTGATCTAACCATGGTGCGTGCTTTCATTAACAGAATTTATGATAATGGCACTGGTTTTAAACCTAAAACTCTAAACTCTAAACACACCTCACTAAGCCATTAATCTCACATAGCATGGGGTGGCTGTAGCTCAGGTGGCAGAGCGGAATCAGCCACTAACCAGAAGGTCGGTGGTTCGATCCCAGGCTGCTCCAGTCTGCATGCAAGATACTAACCCTATGATGCTCTCCGATGCATCCATCGGAGTGTGAATGT